TTTGAGACTGTACTAATGAGTTAAAGTTCAGAGTTCACTCAGACTGAGGAAGTTGTAGGGTGGTATAGGGGGAATTCATTTGAGACAGGGAGAGAACAGGTTAAGAGATTAAAGTGTGAGGGAGCATAGTGCATTCTGGGAACCCTAAGGAATTCAATAAGAGTAGAGCAAAGCTTGCATTTGGAGACCTCTCAGTAGCTGAATTACACAGAAGTCATATTGTGAAGGCTGGGGGTCTTTGCTGAGGAGTTTGGGATGTATCTGGAAGACCGTGGAGAGTCACTGAAGAGTTATCAAGGAGACAGTGACATAATAATCATGTATTTCTTAAAAATCAACTCAGAGACCCCGTGGCACTTTGGTCTAATATGATCTGTTGAGAGCAGTGTGGCAAGGCTTATCAGAGTTCAGCTGGGAGGCTGTCAGGAAAATCCAGGGGAGAATATGTCCACGATAAGGAAGAAATGTTGTCTGGCTAACTTCTCACTCCTGATACCTATAGATTTACTTTTGGAATTTTTGATAAAAATGCTCTGTCCAGGCTCTCTCTAGGCTGAGAAAATCAGAATTCCTGGGAGCAGGTGATGGTGGGTGGTGGGTTAGCCCCTGGAGGTGATGCCTTCTGTATCAGAGCTGAGGGTCACGACATCTCATCTTGCTAAAAGTGTGTGGGATCCTGCTTTACCTCTCCATGATGCATGATCTCCCAACCACACAAGGTGAAGATAGGCTGTTAGTTCCCATCTGCTGGGCAGACCTGTAAGATTAGCCACTTTGACAAAGCCTTGTGATTCAATTAGCAGAGTCTACCTTTCTTCAGGGAATCTGTGAGACCAAGGAGTGGGATACATGTTGGTTTGGATCAGAAAGCACCGTCTTGCCTTCACACAGCTCACTTGCTTCTCTGTGGCTATAAAAGCATTAACTTCTCCACAGAGCTTTTCCTAGTTGGGGTATTCCAAGGAATCTGGAAAGTGCTTGAATTTTCTTAAGTTCCTCTAATTCCTTAGGATTTCCCTGACGTGATAAATTCTATGTAGTGCTTGCCTTGATGTTGGTAGCCTGCTGGCAAAGAAAGCAGAGAGCCTGAGAGTTCCCACTCTGAAGACCAAACAACATCCTGCTTTGACCCAGTTACTGTGACTCAGCCACCTACGAGCGGCGATTTCAACAGAATGATGACAGGGTTGGGGGAATTTCTGTTGAACTTATTGTTGAGGGGTAAGGGGAAGATAGGGTCATCCCCTCATGCCAGGAAATGGGCAAATATGGTCTCATGATTCCCAGCCATACACAAAAAGGGTCTCCTGGCCATCATTCATGTAATATAACTATTCCTTAAAGCTGTTTCCAGTAAAAATTTCCTGTTTCCTCCTTAACACATTTGTCTGTTGTTTACTGAGAGAAAACTTAGGTAGAAAAGCTTCATATGTCCATTGTAGTTTTAGTTTTTGATGGCATTTTGGCCAAATCATTGGAGAATGATTTTTTAAAATCTTCGCATTTTCACCCCACAGCTCAAATAGACTGAAGGGAAAATCGTGCCCTGACAGCCAGTTAGAGGCATCAGGGAGGTAAGGTGACTGGTAATGTAACATGACAGGGCTTTTTTTAGTGTCTTAAATGTTTATTGTTATATTTTTTAAGGAGTCACTTGTCTTGCTCATTTCTGTATCTTAGTCCCTGCTCTCTGAATGTAGAGAAAGCTCGTTTTTAAGGAGAAGTGGCTATTTCCCCACTTATTTCCTTATCTCTTGGGAGTGATGTTAGTAATCTGCATTTTCACTATGAGGAGTGAATTAATTAATATGATTTAATGTGCTTGGGCAGGGCCTCCTTGGTGGCGCAAGGATTACATCTCAGTACCATGAAACTATTGGCAGTCACTGTAGCATGAGTTCGATCCCAGGCGAGGGAGCTGACCCACATGGCACAGCAGACCCCTCCTTTCTCACCCACTGCTCTCCTCAGCAGTGTATTTCACTGGATCTGCCTATTCTGCTCCCCACACACCTCTGGCCTACACCCCAGCTCTTGTATGCATAAATAAATAAAATAAATCTTTAAAAATGCTTGGACAAGGCCTTGCACACATTGAGCACTAAATAACAGTTAGTCATTAACAGATTTGTCAAGAGGCATCTGGGAGGACTGCACAGAGGCGGCAGCCTTGAGAATGGGCCTTGAAGGATGATTGAAATCTGATATAGAGAGAATGGTAGAACATTTCAGACCAGGGAGGTCACAGCCATGTGTGGGAAGGAAAACTCCAAGTTTACTTTGGCCAGGATATAGAAGGAGGACAGGGAGCTGAAAAATTAGGTTGATGCCACGTGGCGAGCCTTGCAAACCACACAGAGGTGTTTAGACTTGATTTTCTAGGCAGTGGAGTTACAACAGAGATTTTGAGGGAGAGAAAAGATATTGAAACTCATAGTTTGATGAGCCAAGTTTGAAGAAAGGAGAGCAAGTGAAAGTTATGACTTGGATCAAGGGTGAAACTAGGAAGCATATTCTCTACCTGACTTGAATGTAGACACAGGTTTGTTTCACGTTAAATAAAACAAAAATATTGATTGTTAAATAATCAGCATTTACATTGGATTGTTAGCATTTTCTCTTGACCTACTGGTAATTGGAAAGGATTGGGAGTAAGGTTAGCAACTATTCCATTTATTAAACATCAGTGACAACTTTTCACAAAGAGTTTTCACAACTGTTCTGCAAAGAAGGTAGATTCATTTGCTATACAGCCTAAGTTTTCATGAGTGAACATTTAAAAATATAAAATTAATCTTACACTTAATCTGTTTCCTGTAGTTTTATATCTAAAAAACACATTTCCATCTATTTTAGGGTGATACTTATGTAATCTCTGCAGTTCTTGGAAGTAAAGTTTTTTCATTATAAGCCTCTAATTAAATTATCTGCCAAAGAAGCAAACCTTCACCTGTTCACATCATTTTTAACCAAGTGTCAGAAGCGTAACTCTGTGGACACAGCTTGTTAGATCAAGTTTTGGTCATTTGAGGTCATTTCATTTTCCTAGTGATGGGAAGTAAGAGATTAACATGACAGCTATAGGTATTTATGTGTTACTGAAATTACTCAGGCCTTAAGTGAACAATGTGTGTGGAAACACTTTGAAATTATAAACTATGATATAAATAAATGTAAAGATTTTTCAGGAAAATATCTTTCAAGTCTTTCACTTAAAACCATTGTTTAACAAAGGAAGTCAGGGACATATCCTAAATCATGGCAAAAATCAGCCAGATAATAATGTCTAAGGTTTTGTGTGTGTGCTAACCTGGTGTCATATCTGAAAACTGGGTGAACATTGAGAATTTCTGGTGACTCATCACTTGTTAGATAAAGTACTAAGAAAGCAGCCAATTTAGTGTTCATGTCTAATAATCTGTTCAATGGAAAATAACATCTGAATAGGAGAAGCACAGCATTTCAAATACTTTTTAGAACACTTAGCTCCCTTCCCTGCTCCCCAGGGGCCACTGAGATAGTGGGGAAAGTTTCCTTATTCTTTAAAGTAAAATATTGAGTTTTTATATGCTTTTCCAGCACTGTAGGTTTTTATAAAATGTTCATGATTTTATTCAAAGCTTCCTAATTCCTTTCTGAGACAAGGTATAAAACATAAATGCATTAAAAAAAAAGTTACACACCAACTAATTCACATTTGAATATAAATCACTGTATATTCTTTTATTCAGTGAAGACACTGAAGTTGTTACATATCTATGGCACTTTGTCCTTGACCAACAATTCAGTGAATTATGTTTAATTATGTACTACTTTCATGGCTGCATTGAAAAAATTCAAGAAAGTAAGTGACCATGCCATGTATATCCATCCTAAGGCCCTAATTGTTTTTAGTTAGTATTAACTTACTCATCAGAAGGTAGAGGGTTTTCTCTTTAGCCTGCTCAGTAAGGTCATTCCTACTTGGTTTAATGAATTTGAGTGTCCTTAGTAACCTTTCTTTAAAGGGCAGGAACTCCTGTGGAGAAAGCTTTGAAACCACAAAGTTAACTAGACAAAAGTAAGACATGTAGACAGCTCCTAATATGGCCCATCCGCCTCCCACCTGGTTCAGAGGAGAGATGCTTAATGATGATTTGAATCTGGAATAAATTAAGCCATGTTGAGACATTTATGAATGAGTGAATGGCCTTACATAACTACTTTTCTAATGGCCTGAGGAAGAGGGAAGAAGGGTTGAAAGAATATTTTTTGTGCAAACAGAGAAACTAATTAATGTACCCAGGACCTCTTCTGTGAGTCTGTTTTAACGGGATTGTAAATATGTGCTTGAGTGAGTTTGAACACAGCGTGTCAGTTGCTCTTGGCCTTTCTGTTTATCAATACTATCTTCAAGATGTTAACCACCGGAAAGGAGACGCTTTATTAGGCATTTCAGCTTGCTGAGACTGTGGGATTTATTGACTTAATGCTGTCCTGGGCATCTGACGGTGGGGTCTCCCTGGTACTGGGCACCCCTGAAGGCCATTGCCCAGCGCCTGGGGCTCATTCAAGCATCCCGTGAGGTGTCAGAAGGCCTGTGCCATTGGTCAGGTCACTTCATTTTTCAGGGTATCAGATGTAGTGGGTGGCCTTTTCCTAACTTGAAAAGTAAATTAAGTTAAGCCAGCCAGTCTTAAAATAAGTTATTTAATTCGACTGCAACTTTCTCATTATGCCCTATTTTCATAATCATGTGTAACTAGAACATAGAAGCAGCAGACTAACTTACTGCTAAGCTTCCTTTTTTTTTCTTTTTTCAAAGGAAAGTCAAATAATTATATGGATCTTTAGAAATTCTGAAAGAAGCACAAAAATGTAAACCATGTAAAATAATTGTTTTTTTTTTAATTCTGTTTTCATCCTGTTTGCTTTATAACAGAAGTCATTATATTAAAGAAAAAAAAATAGGCTGAGATACACATAGCTAACAACTTTGTCCTTCTTGTGTTCTATCACAGAAATTGAAGCCAAAGAAGCTTGTGATTGGCTACGGGCAACAGGTTTCCCTCAGTACGCACAGCTTTATGAAGGTAAGCTGGGAAGACTGATATTTTTTATGCTGGCATAATCGTATTTTTCTTACATGACTTATCACTGACCAACAGTTCATTTATTATTATTTAAATATTGCATTAAAAAATTGTAGCAGTCACCTTAAGACTCATTCCTTTCCCACCCTCTATTCAAAGTCTCCATCATTCTGAAATCTCTATTTATCATTTTCTTGCTTTCCTTTTATATGATCTTATTGCATTTTCCTAAAGTATATATTTTATAAACACTTTATGAAAAATGTTTATGTTCTGTACACTCTTGCAAGATTTATTTTCCCCTTATTGTAGTGTTAACATTCTTTTGTAATGTGTGTGTTGCCATAGTTCATTGCTTTGACTGTATTATACCTCATTATGTGGCTATACTACAGTTTATTCATATCCACACTTTGGTAGCCATTTCTGTTTTTTCTCTTTTGTTTTTACAAAAGATACTGACTTATGAACATTCTTATTCATTTGTGTACTCTTGTAGAACAGGTGCAGCAAATTATCTTGTATATCTAAGGATATAATTACTGAGTAATAGAAAAAACATATGTCCAATTTTACAGTACAAATTTTTCAAAAGTTCCTATACTGATTCTCATTCCTACCAATAATATGTAAAGATCCCATCTATCCTTGTATTCTCAATACTTGATATTGTGAGACTTTAATTTTTGCCAATCGTATGGATATAAAATGATGTTTTATAGATTTGATTGCACTTCCCTAATCATTCATGGTAATGCACACTTCTGTGTCTTTGCTCCTTGGTGAAGTGTCAGTTGCCCATTTTTATCTTGAGTTGATTGTGCCTTTTTCTTAACCTGTATGAGCCCTTTTTTGTAAATACCCAGCCTTTGTTGGTGATGCATGACAAATATCTTCACCTAGTTTGTAATTAGGCTTTTCACCTTTTTTTAGATTTTTATCTGACTAATATTATTCTTTCTATGGCACTCAACAATTTTATCAAGAAAAACTGATCTTTCTTTTAAAAAAACAAAGATCTAGACTGAATTTTTAATACTTCGTTTCATCATCAGTGTCATGGAATTTCTTGGATGCTGAGGGTAGAGGATGAAAAGCCCCTCACATCTCATTCATCTGCTTGCCCATTGTGTAGGATTTGCATGAAGAGATGGATAAGCTATTCTTTTAAATGGAAATTTATACCCTACATGCAGTAGTTTAAAAACACTCATATTTGTGAACTAGTCAACTCCATTTTATGGGTAACTTTCAAGTCAAGGTTGGGTCAATAGTGAAGTGATTCTTAAACTGAGCTTCTTCCAGCTTGAGCATTCTTTATTTCCTTAACTCTACTGAGATAAAAACACTTGGTGTCTCATTCATTCTTCCATACATTCAACTACTCACAAGACAGTAGAGCTCCCCAACAGAGGTGTACGCTATGTATTTTATACAGACAGTTCAGACCTCAAAGAATACCTTTAAATGATTGCCAAAATATCAAAAAGCAAACATAATTTTGGCTGATTTACATTTTAAAAATATTTCTTTGTCATCAGTTAAGAAGGAAGGAGATTCCAAGACATAGCCATCATGTGACAAAATCTCTAAAAGTTCCAGTTGAAGTGATGTCACTTAAGTGTTTTTACCAGTAATGTTCAGCTCTTCCCAGCAGTAATTTTTAGAGGTGTCTTTTGCTTTTCTGTTCTTCTGGTGTGATAACAAGCAGATTGTTTCTTCTAACAGTGGCAGCCCGCTGTCACCTAGTGTCACTGGAACCTTCCTGAACACATAAGCAAAGTACTATGAGCCCATGCTCAGAATGGTTATAGTTTGTAAGCTTGGAACTCCTTGGTGTAATTAGCAGGTTGCTTTGAAGAATGGTACAGAGTGAGTGGGAGTACCCTTCAGAGCCAAAGTGGTCACAGACAATACAGGTATATTTTTTTTTCTCTAGCTCACTGAGCTAAATTAGTTCATTTTAATTTGTAATACCTGGTTTTGCAGTGCCTATAAAATGCATGACATTTACCCATGAATGTGGATTCAGAATTATTTTCTTGGTAGACTATGTAAAATACCTTTCTGTTGCTTTATTTCAGAGAATATCACTTTGTCTCTGATTGTTTTTTCTTTTTCCTTTTCGTGTGTCTCTCTGTGTGTGTGTTTAGTTAACCTGCGTGGTTGTTAGGATGGCGTTGTATATCTTTGCTTTGGAGAGAATTTTTGACCTATTAACATTCAGAGCATCTTCCTCTTTCAATAGGGCGTGTGGGTGGAGGATGGGAACATTACAACATTCTACTGGATTTTCAATTCACAGCTCTAATGGTCATGGAGGAGGATAATTGCATTTGCAGTGGCAGGAACATGACGGTGTCCTTGTGTTCTCCTATTTAGAAATTAAATTTCCTTCAATTATGTCCATTTTGGGTGTTGAGCTAATGCCAAGCAGTACTTTCTTATGCTGTGCATGTTTGCTAAGACCCAGTTCCAGTCTCTGTCTTGCTTCTTTCTGAATCCTAAATTACAGAGTGCATTTTCCTAAGTTACATTTCAGGCTCCCTTCACATTTGTAAGTCTTTTGAAGCACAAGTCTGCTTTTGAGACATACTTACATTGTTCTGGGCTATAATTTATCCCCGGCATCCTGTCACTGTGTGTGCCGAGTGAGTACACATATCACACACCAACCCACACATTCTTTGTCTTCCTGTTTAACTTTATTTTGGTCCTTGGCAATTTGTACTTCCTGTCCTTAAACCCTAACTGGAAGTTTCACTACTAATCTTAAAAATTCTTAGACCTTCTATACATCAATGACCTGTCATATTTTAGAAGCCAGTCCTTTCAGGAAAGAGTCTAGGCAAATTAAATGAAATTGCTGATTTAATTTTAATTCTTTCAGCCCTTACATGCATTTAGCTCCCACCTACCCTAAAATTTGTTAACAGATTTCTAAAGTTAACTTCCACCAGGAAAGTCTAAGTTACGAACTGCTAAAAAGTCAGTCTATAAGTATTTAAAATATATTCTTTAATATCTGCTCTGGTATTTAATACTTGAAGTTCCTGTGGTCTATTCAAGGTGAAATGCAGTTGCTACACCTTCAAACAGCCTTACAATCTACTTTGCTTCTATTTATTAAAAGTTTACATTTACTATAAGCTGCCTCTCTACCTGCACTTTAATAGTGCCACTAGTCAGTTGCCTAAGAGACTTGGTCTATAAATTAGTGAAAGTACATATCCTGTGATACTGAATCTCATACATTTCTTCATATCTCTTTGGGAGATAGACCTTCATTCATCTGTCCATGTTATCATTCAGGAATCAGTATCAGTAATCTATTGATAACCAGCTATCAGAAAAAAAACAGTCACACTCATTATGTTCATTTTCAGCATTATTTTTAAGAAAGCATTAACTCTAGAAAATAGATTTTTAAATGAGGAGCTCCATACCATTCTGTAATGAGTGATCAAAGCTAGAACCAGATACTGAAAATATGATGCAAAGTCATGCATTTCCTAGTCAAGCTGAGAATTAGAAGATCACTAGTTACTAGCATCTTCAAAACTACATAGCCCTGCCTTTTCTAGTATGCAGCCTTAGCCATTTTGGGCCAAAGGGATTTTGGGGGTATGGTAATCCCAGTTTCCTGCCATGCTGACTTATTTTGCCCTTTCCGGAACCACAGAGTTGCAAAGGAAAACTCTTGCTCATGATATTACATAAGCATTCCAGTGGGAAAGCCCATTATTTACCCTAATAGCTGGAACTCCAAAGAGGGATAACTGGTGTTTACCTAAAGGCAATTCCAGAGTGTTGTAAATTTCCAGAGTGCTGCTGTCCTCTTCCTCCCTCCTCTTCTTGGATGCATTGATCTACAAGGGGATAAAAAAAGGAAATTCTTCCCTTCAGTTGACTTTTTCCCCCCTTCTGCTTTTCAGTTCAGATACACTGACTCTAAAAGTATTAAGCTGTTCTATAGATTAAGGGATTTGGGGTTCTATTGTTCCATAGACTTTATAGTTGGCCTTTTGTTTTAGAGGGAGTTATATAAACTCCTTAAAAGCCATATGGAAGAGCTAATATTTGTTTAAAAGTAGCATATCCTGAATTCTCTTAGCTTTTGATGTCATGCAAATGGTTAGGTTCCCTTTGCTACCACTCACCATTGTTCTCCAGCTCTTGTTTGGCCCACTTTTCCCCTGACCTCTTCCTTGATCAAATGTGAGCAGACAGATTAAAACAAACAAACCAAAACCAACCACATTAAAAGGAAGCATCCTTTTGGTATTCTTTCTGGCTTAAATTATATAATTTACAGCAAGGGACTGTTGCCTGCTGATTTGTTTGTAAAGGTGAGAAAGTATGTTGAACCACCTGTCTTTAACAAGAAGAGATATTACTTTAGACCTGAACTCCTTTTGAACATTAATACAGTGTTATCTTAAGCTGTTTTTTTTCTCCCATAGCACTTCATAGTATCTTACACACGGAAGATATTCAATATATTACTTTTTTTTCTTTTGCTGAACTGGACTTGTTTGGCAAGAATTTAGGTGCTTAGGAGCCTCCTTGGTGGCTCAGGGGTTAAGTCTCAGCGATATCATGGTGTTGCCACTGTTGCCTGAGTTAGATCCCTGGGCCAGGGATCTAACCCACATAGCATGGCAGACCTCTCCTGTCTAGCCCACTGCTCCCCTCAGCAGTGTATTTCAGTAGGTCTGCCTGTTCTGCCCCCCCCCCCACTCTGTCTCTGGTGAATCCTCTTATCTCTGCACCCCTGACCTACACCCCCAGTTCTTGTTTGCATAAATCAAGTTTTAAAAATTATTTTAAAAAAAGATTTTAGGTGCTCAGTAAATGTGTTTGTTTTTATTTTTCCTTTAGATCTTTTGTTCCCTATTGATATTTCCTTGGTCAAGAGAGAGCACGATTTTTTGGACAGAGATGCCATTGAAGCTTTATGCAGGTAAATGAAATATTTTGAGTATTTTTCTTTTCTTATTTAAAATAACATTATTTATTTGAGATGGTTTTTGTTTACTTTTGTTCCAGCTAATTATGACGAGTCTTTGATTAGGGAATGCAAATAGTGATTTACTTCATTATGAACCATAACCCTTTAATTAAAATAAGCAAAGTCTTGTTATTTAGTATTAGCGTTAAAATGGCACTGTTCCAAGAGGTACTCAAATAGTACCATTTCGTATTTTCTATCATATGATTTGCTGAAACAGATAGCATTTAGATGGTTTGAAACATGGGAATGGGAGCTATTAAAAAACAGTGTTACATTCCCAATCAGGTAACACTACTACAGCTAAAGCTGCTGTTATGTTGAATTAAAAAATACTTAGAGGCGTAAGTGGAGTGAGGGGCTATGGCTTCTTAAGAGTGAAGGAGCACACTACTTGATTCCAGGAAACATCTCTGAACCTCTTCAGTGTTCCCAGTTACAAAATAGTAAACATAGGATGAAATAGGACTATAAAATAACTCAGCGTCACCAGGAGCATACAGCAGACATGCAGTAAATGAGCACTGAGCTGAAATGCGAATAAAATTGCCAGAGATCTCTGTTCATTGTACTGGTGAATCTTCAGGCTGAGGAGCAGCTGGTGGTAGAATGGAAGTAATAAAACATGTAGCCCACAATGAGGGGACACCAATAATCCTTTCAAACTCTTCCTAACATTTTATTCATTTTAAGTTATTTATCTTTGTAATTTTTCTCAAAACGTACAACCCATAAAAGGGGAATTTGGGTGGGTGGTGGATGTAGTCAGATAAAATTCACATATTGGTTTGATTTTAAAATTAAATAAATGTTCTTTTAATTTAGTATTTATTTTAACATGGAAAAACTTGGTAAGGTGAAATGGCACCAAGTATTTAGTTCCACTTTATAGGCAAAGAAAGCAGTGAGGGCGCAATGAAAGTACTATATTTTGCCTTCTGAAGTAATACAATGTTGTAATACAACAGCAAGCTTACATAGTGCTTGTAGGGAAATAGGTGGGCTGATAGTATGTGGAGTAGACTCATGGTTTAAAACTGAAAAAAGTACCATATTAACCACAGAAACACTGCTGCTTTTCAAATCCAATTAAATGAAGGCTTAGAAATGTTTGCAGTACGTTCACATTTTCTATAAGAAACCCAGTTCCAACTCCAGCACTGTAGTGCATAATATCATAGCTATGTCATCTGCAATAAGAAAAAAAATGTCACTGATGCTGTTTTGGAGAGAAGTCTTACAACATCTGGAATATAAGCTACTCCAGACATTTTTAAAATATTTTAATGCTTAGCTATGAGGCAGAAATTATTTCTTTCCTATTCATCATTGGTGATAACGCATATAAATGAGCTCACTGGTAAGATGTATCCTAGGAAATATTTACAAAATTGCGTCAGATGAACCGTTTCACACATTTTAAGCCACTTGGTGAGTGGACCCCCAGAACAGCAGCAACAGATTAAGAATTCCTGCACCAAAAAATATCACTGCAACATTGCAAGCCAAAGGTCATGATTAGAGTCTTGAATTTTTTTAAATTTTTTATTTTTTGGAATGCCAGTTTGAAAATCAGCTTCTGTGCTTTGGAGGGGAAGGACACCCTTTGTACATTGTGATTTCCAGTGGCCCTCAGCACCGTTGGAGAAGCTAACTCCCTCTGAAAGAAATAAATCGGTGCAACTGGTTGGATCTTTTGTGAAAAGAAAATCTTAAAACAACTGGACTGTATTTTTTTTTTTTTTAAGATTTATTTATTTATTTATACAAGCACTGGGTACAGTCAGAAGCGCGGGAGGGTGAGAGAATTCACCAGAGCCAGAGCGGAGAGCAGAACAGGCAGAGCAAGGAAACACACTGCTGAGGGGAGCAATGGGCGCGGCAGGAGAGGTCTGCGCACCATGTGGGACCCTCAGCAGCGGCCTGGGATCCAACGGGTGCTGCAGAGGCTGCGGGCAGCTTCGCAGCCCAGCACTCAACCGCTGCGCCACCAGGAGGGCCCTGGACTGTATTCTTGAGGGGGCTTCAGTTTCTCTGATGCACAGCCTAATAGCTGCTAAGTTAAGTGTAAGAAGGAAAGGCAGTGATGGATGGCACAGCACTTTAAAAACGGAAGCCCATTTGAGTATGTGGAGAAAGTCTTCAGGTTGAATTTCTTTCTAAAAAAGAAAGTCATAAGAATTCACAGAACGTCATCACATGCCTATAATGGAAAACCCCAAGGGCTCTTGTCCACACGTTCACAAAACGATTCTCCTTTTGAGAGACCCAAACAAATGTTCAGAAGAAAAGATAGGAGCCTTGCATAGTACATTTCAAGCCACCAGCCTTTGTAATGCACTACAGTTCTGAGCTGTCAGCAGAGTAGTTGGGCAATACTTGTTTTCCTGACTGTGTGATATTCGTCTCATTTGCTAGACTAACCTGTTCCATATGCCTCTTTGGCTCTTAGAAATCTAGAGTCAGCAAATCATGAGGCTACAGTGTTATTCAAAATTTGCCTTGTGATTTGTGAAGTTTTTTCCAGACTGACAGTCTTTTTTTAGACTTCCCCTTTTGCCATGTGGAAATATTTTGAGCAGTTGATTTTAAATATATGTGGTAATATAGTTACAGAAACTCAGTTGGAAAGTTTTACTTTAATAAAGTATTATTAAATACTTAATTCAGTATTTTTACTTTAAATACATTAAAATTTATTTGAATAAAATAATTCTTAGATGATTTCTCTTTCCTGCCACCTTCTTCCCCCCAACACATACACACACCCCTGGGTGTTACTAAGTGCTCCCATATACACTCTTATTTTCCATTTAAAGATTTATTATAAATTTTTGTATACCTGTAACATTTGCAGATTCTACACAGCTCCTTTTGTCAAAAACTGGTGGGAGCTGGTCTGTTAATATATTCACTTGGAGTATCAGACTTGTAAACTTATGGATATTTTTCTTTGTTTAAAAATGATCCCAAAAATATCTTCAGTTCAGAGCTTGGTGGTCACCAAAAGTCGCAATTATGAACCTGCTAGGTTTTTTGGAATTGGATTGTTAACCAACATTCTTACACTCACACTTGTTAAGGGATTTATGTATTTGTTTCCTTGGAGAGATTGGCTTTGGTCCCAGTCTTGCTAGCTTTGCTATATAATCCACCCCCAGTGATAAGGCCAAGACTATGAGTTACATTCACTGTTAATACTGGAGAGTAATTCCCTTGTCTTAAAGCATATACAGATAATAATGTAAACTGTGATCCACTGTTATGAGATGATTTTTGTCTATCACTTCTGAAAATTATTCCATGTTGCTAAATCTCTTTGGAGTTACAACTGACTCTTCCTTTAAACACTCTGAATAATTACGTAAATAAGGTAATCATGGTATAATAATAGATATCCACACTATCATCTCCAGTGTGCCCATGGTTGTAAAACCGCTCTTAAAATGATTAAACTATGTAAAACTGCCTCTGTATAGTAAATTTAACTTTGTTACTATTTCTGTTCTGTTAAAAGGTAGGCAAGTAATTTTTTAAAGCAATTGCACTTATTCCAAGAAAATCTCTTTAAGGATTGGAACAATTTTGTCAATATTTAACTTGGAAAATTGTTCCTTTTTCTTTTCTCTCTCTTGTGCTTTTCCCATTTTCCTTTTATATAGGAGGCGGCCCAGGTCCTTGCCTGCTAAGCCTTTATCTGGGTGCTTGCAGCTCCCTGCAGCAAAGCTCTTGACCCTTGATACCCTCTCCTTGTGCTCCTCCCCCTTCAGAGAGGGTACAAGTTGCCCAGCAGATAAGACTGACACATTCCTGTGGGGCTGAGTCCCTTGGGGGCTCTGGGGGATGGGGGTGATTGTGGCTTCAGGACAGAAGGTGTATAACATCCATCTGAGGAATCTCACTTAGGATATGAGCTGCTCCTATATATTTCCAACATTATCTTAATACATTTATTAAAGTAAAAAATGCAGAAGATGCTGTTTTTGAGTGCCAGACCTGCCATGTTTTAGTCTTGTAACCATGGATAAGCTGTGTGACTTCTCCCATTTCTTCATCTGTTAAATGGAAATAAATAGTAACATCTATTACATAGGACTGTTGTTGGACTAAGAGGAAATAATACATATGAGGTACCTGCATAGCACCCTGAAGGAGTCCCCCGTTGTACTCTTAATGATTATTTCATGTCAGAACTGTTTCTCTCAGGTAAATTCCTACCTGTGGGTAGTCTTTGGAGGTCCTAGGGGGAACTTTCTTGAGTTTAAGCCCCAGAATAACTTTTGGGCTTCAAAATTAAAATGCCACTAACTTGGTGCTATTAATATAAAAAGGTAATAACATTGACCTTCATAAAGCTGGCCTCCTGGGTCCTTTTTGTTTGACTCCAATCTAAAGTGAGTCCCTCCTCCACCCCCACAGGCCTCCATGCCTAGTAAACCTGATTTAAAAACACCACTCAACCATTAAAGTCCAAATGAAGTCAAGTGGATATTTGATTACGGGTTTGATGAATGGAACTCAGGCCTAAGACTAACTGTAACCATTCCAGATACTTTAAATCTTGAAAATGTTTGAGAACTAAAACACTGTGGGTCTAAGTCATCTAAGGAGTGGATGTCCCTTCCTAAGGGACATTTTAAGGTCTTATTTTAAGGTCTATGGACCCTTTTTGTTTTTTTTTTGTTTGTTTGTTTTTTTTTTTTTTTTGGTTATTTGTTTCTCTTCCCTTCAAAATTTTCCTGAACATAGGCACTCTGAATTATCTTTGTTTATACTATAAGCAGGCTACCACATACTCTGAAATCAAAGGCAGTCTTATCAGCAAGCAAAATACTTTCTATCCTAGTGCATCTAAGTTGTTAGACAAGTTGCAAGGACAGGATGCAAAGGTAAAGCCGTGAAGAGGTCCCTGGCCAGTTTGAATTGGTGTGAATGATATGCTCCTATCCTGTGAAAATGGAAGAATTGCATTGTGAGCAAGAGTGGAAATAAATAAGTTAAAGGTTCATTTGAAGAAGACAACAATGATGATCATCTGGAAGATGTTAGAAAAAATTGGGGCCTGAAGGGCTGTCATTCACACTGTCACATACCATTTATTCCTGCATATTTAAAGGGTTTCTTCACTCCCCTCCCCCCCCAGCTATTCCATTATTTCCCAGTGAGGGTTGTGTTTGTGTTTTATTTTGTTTTTAAGGCATTTTATATTCAACAAAACTCAATTATTTCCCCAATTTTAAATTAACTTTACTGTTTGGCAGGGGTCAGAAATATTCACAATTAACACATGACTGCTGTTCCAAAGAAGAATCTGAACCAGTGGCTTATTTGTTGAACTCTATAAGATTTTTATCCTTGAAGCTGCAGTAAATAAGTGTTTAAGATAATTATTTGCACTGTGGTTGTAACTATACCAAACATTAAGGCATCCTAGACAGGAAGTTGTAAAAATAATTAGGGATTAAAGAGGGCTCAGACTTCTTTTCTGTACAAGGCTAAGATGTTTTTGGCAAATAACTAAAAATTGGGCTTTTCTTTAATGTAAACTTTGATTTGAGATAGAATATGCTGTTTACTCCATGTGGTTCCCTTGTTGTCCTTTGTGTGAAATAGCACTGGCTTTCATTTATAGGCACTTTGTGGACCTACCTAATGGCTCAACATAGGAGCTTTAGGAGGCATAAATTTCCTCATTGAGTGTTGTTTGTTTCATGAAGAATAACATGTACTGGACATGAAGAATAACAAATACCTTTGCAGTGTGCCACCTTATAATATAGTAAATTATAAAAAAAAAAATTTAGATTTAAAAAATCTTAAATATAAAGATATTCTTAAATTACTTTTTAAAGGTTGAAAGAAACTCATGACATGTGTCAACTGAAAAAAATACAAATTTGTCCACCCATCAGTGGTTTCCTACTTTGTTAATGTTACTTCTTTGCTCTATACAGGCGTCTAAATACTTTAAACAAATGTGCGGTGATGAAACTGGAGATTAGTCCACACCGGAAGAGAGTAAGTATATAAAATGTATAAATAATGTGAGGGAAAGGGGCAGGCCAAAAACTGGATTGTGGGTTTTGATTCTCAAGCTCTTCCTTCCAGAAACTTCTACATTTTGAACGTTAGAATCCAGACAAGTTTACCAAAGACTGTAGCCTTGTATAGTTGCAACCAATACTTTCAGCCAGACAACAGATTCTTTTTCCTACTGTGGACAAATCATCTATCATTTTGCTTCATTAATTCTCTCTTTCATTTTAAAGAGAGATGAGGCTTCAGGAAAGCAGTGGATTTTGTATTCACCTTTCTCTATAGAAATTAAAGACATCTTTGGGATGTCTCTGTCTTCCCATAAATAAAAGTTTCAAAGCTGTAGAGTTGGAAGGGAAGGCTGGCCTGTGGGATATTGAAGAATAATAAGAGATTTGGAGGGAGGAAAGGAGTTGGGGGAGGTGGAGAACAGGAAATCCCACACATTCTACTCCAATGGCAGCACATAGCTGGATAAGATGGTATTTTCTTCTGCTGATAAAATGTGAGGCCTCTTAGGAGGTCTTCGGAGAAGAGGTGGGTGTAGCACTGGGAGTAAGTTCCATAAATTAGAGTAAACAGGAATAAGTTTGGTCAAAGAACATATTTCTGACTGTTCAGAGTACCAGTTTTAATTACCCTACAGTTCTTGACCTACAGGTTGCCTCCTTGGGGGAGTTCAACCTTTTAAACAAGTGAACTGGAACCTCAGTACCCACTGAGCTGCAGAGAGCAGTCTACATGTCAGCATTAATGCCTCTTTTCATTGTCCAGTGAAACTTAGGTCATGGGATATTTTCCACACCAGTGGGAAAGACATGCATCTGACTGAATTGTGCCTTTTGATATCCTGCCTAAAAGGCTACAACATCCTGAGTCGTGCACATAAATCAGACATAATCAGCAAAGATGTTAGTGGTGTTTGGGAATGTTATGTGCTGTCAGGACTGGGTTTGTGCAAAGCCTTGCTAAATTGCCCTGGGCACGTCTTGATTTGAAATTTCACAGGACACTTGTAGCATTAGCTCTAGATCCAGTGTCTGATGGGATAAGGGATGGAAAAGAGCAGGTGAGACACCAAAAGTATCAGAACAAAGAGATGGATAGCTTACCTTGCTTGGTGTCTCCCTCCATTCATCTGTTCAGTGAATTTGTTAACTCTGGGGTGACTGGAGATTTCAGTCACTACTCTTAGTATTTGAAAACTACCTTCCTATGTATAAAAAGAGAATATAAACACATACTATCAACAGACAGCAAAATTGAAGGCAGACCAGAGGGAGCCCTACCCTTGCTGACTCCAGTTCAAAATATTTTGCATGCCTGGAATTTTCACAGATCTCAGAGAGGTTTCCATTGTGAGCAATTCAAGGACAGTTATAGGTCCCAGAAACTTCCATAAAATGCCCCTTATTTAGCTAGCAACACTCGATCAAGGCTTTTTTCTATTAAACTCTTTAAAGCTATCTGCTACTTTAAAAAATAATAAACTAAAGATTAAAGGAGGAATCAACACTGCTGGGGTGTTAAAGAGCAGTCCTCTAGGCAGAGGCCCTCTGCACAAGGCCTGCTCCTGCTGTCTGCTGATGCCAGTGTTTGAATGGTCCATTCTGTCCTTGCAGAGTGAAGATTCAGATGAGGATGAACCTTGTGCAATAAGTGACAAGTGGACTTTCCAGAGGGACAGCAAGAGGTGGTCCCGGCTTGAGGAGTTTGATGTCTTTTTTCCAAAACAGGACCCAGTCCCGGGGTCCCCAGTGGATCCCCACCTGCAGAATGCCCCGAGCCATGAAAGCATGCTGACCGACCTCAGCGAGCGCCAGGAGGTGGCTTCAGTCCGCAGCCTCAGCAGCACCAGCAGCCTCCCCACCCATGTACCCCACAGTGGGGATGGCGCGACACCCCGCACTAACTCCGTCATTAGCGTCTGCTCCTCCAGCAACTTTGTAAGCAATGACGACTCCTTCTGCAGCCTACCCTCTCCCAAGGAACTGTCCAGCTTCAGCTTCAGCTTGAAAGGCCATGAGAAGAGTGCCAAGTCCAAGACGCGCAGTCTGCTGAAACGCATGGAGAGTTTAAAGCTAAGGAGCTCTCACCATAGCAAGCACAAGGCACCCTCCAAGCTGGGGCTGATCATCAGTGGGCCCGTTCTGCAGGAGGGGGTGGACGAGGAAAAGCTAAAGCAGTTGAACTGCGTGGAGATCTCCGCCCTCAACGGCAACCACATTAATGTCCCCATGGTACGAAAGAGGAGCGTTTCCAACTCCACACAGACCAGCAGCAGCAGCAGCCAGTCAGAAACCAGCAGTGCCGTCAGCACACCCAGTCCCGTCACCAGGACCCGGAGCCTCAGTGCCTGCAACAAGCGGGTGGGCATGTACTTAGAGGGCTTTGACCCGTTCAACCAGTCAACCTTCAACAACGTCGTGGAGCAGAACTTTAAGAACCGAGAGAGCTACCCAGAGGACACTGTGTTCTACATCCCAGAAGATCACAAGCCTGGGACCTTCCCCAAGGCCCTCTCCAATGGCAGTTTCTCTCCCTCAGGGAATAACAGCTCTGTGAATTGGAGGACTGGAAGCTTCCATGGTCCTGGCCACATCAGCCTGAGGAGGGAAAACAGTGACAGCCCCAAGGAACTAAAGAGACGCAATTCCTCTAGCTCCATGACCAGCCGCCTGAGCATCTACGACAACGTGCCAGGCTCCCTCCTCTACTCCAGTTCAGGTGACTTGGCCGACCTGGAGAACGAGGACATCTTCCCCGAGCTGGATGACATCCTCTACCACGTGAAGGGGATGCAACGGATCGTCAACCAATGGTCGGAGAAGTTTTCAGATGAGGGAGATTCTGACTCTGCTCTGGACTCAGTTTCCCCATGCCCCTCCTCTCCCAAACAGATCCACCTGGATGTGGACAATGACCGGGCCACGCCCAGTGACCTGGACAGCACAGGCAACTCACTGAATGAACCAGAAGAGCCCTCAGACATTCCAGAAAGGCGGGATTCTGGTGTTGGCGCCTCCCTGACAAGGTCCAATAGGTAAGAGCTTTGTGTCTCTCTGCAGGATCAGAAAGCTGTTGCTCGTATAGGGGCCTTGGGGTTAAGTGTGGCATTCAGTGCCGCAATAGACCAGGGAGAAAAGTGACAGGCCAGAAAGTCCTAACATCAAAAAAAAAAAAAAAAAAATGGATTTAAGTTTGGAAAGGTGAAGTAAGTTCGGTGGGTGGGTGGTGTGGATGGTTGGACATCACCTGAACTGTACATTTAAAAGTGGTTAAGATGATAAATTTTAGGTTCTGTATTTTCTATCATGGGGTGGCAGGGGTGGAGAATGGAATGTTGATTTCTCTCATTTCCTAAGATGAGAGGCCAATGAGCAACCCTCTGCTAATTTTGTAGCTACCTGTTAAAGCCTTTATCTCACTCACTTTCCCCTGCTCTTTTCTCGTAGGCACAGACTGAGGTGGCACAGTTTCCAGAGCTCTCATCGGCCGAGCTTGAATTCTGTATCACTGCAGATTAACTGCCAGTCTGTGGCCCAGATGAACCTACTGCAGAAATATTCACTCCTCAAGTTAACTGCGCTGCTGGAGAAATACACACCTTCTAATAAACATGGTTTTAGCTGGTAAGGGTTTAAATTATAACTGAAAATGGTTGCTCGAGGCTGTCCCCCACTGAGTATATGACAGTTCTATCCTTTATTAATGTCTTCAATCTATCATCCTAATGCCAGTGGCGTCTGCATGCTTGGGATCACTTTTTTTTTTTTTCCATTATTATTTATTTATTTATTTATTTATTTATTTATTTATTTATACAAGCACTGGGTACAGTCAGAAGCACGGGAGGGTGAGAGAATTCACCAGAGCCAGAGCGGGGAGCAGAGCAGGCAGATGGACCGAAGTACACTGCTGAGGGGAGCAGTGGGCGGCAGGAAAGGTCTGCGCACCATGTGGGACCCTGGCCCGGAGGCTGGGGATCGAACCAGCGCTTCAGAGGCTACAGGCAGCTTCACAATCCAGCACTCAACCGCTGCGCCACCAGGGGAGGCCCTTGGGACCACATTTGATTTGATACTGCTTCAGCCTCTGTAACTTCAGGGAATGACCAGCAGGTTCAGTTGAGTGTTCTGCTCTCTGAGGGACACATCACAAGTTGGTGGGTGCAAATGCATTCCTCTTCCATCCCATTGTAGAGATACCTCTTTCCTGGTGGGAGGAGTAGCCCACCACAGGTAAATGCAAACACAGTATCAGATTGTATTTATAGAAAGCAGGAAAAAATAAACAAAAAACAATTAGATCAGAAGACGTTATGGGGCTGACTTTGAAATGCTTGATTGATGGTACCTGGTTTTGCAACCCTGCTCACATGTTTTTGGAAATCATTTTGGATGTGAGTGTTTGCAGTGTCACTCAAAAATCTACCCATGCTAGAAAGTTTAGGTTATATTTTTTCCAACAAAAACTCAAACAATACTCAAACATTTAAGGAATTCATTATTCCGAGACATAGACTAAAATATTCCTGAAGGTTATAAAATGTATTAGATAATTGTTTTCAGTTATTTTTGAAAATACACCCCTGGGTGTATTTAGGGGCCACGTAGGCTGTTAGGCTGGGTGGGTATGACCTCATGTCTCTGCATCTTAATTTTTCTTCTGTCAGCACAAAACAGAGAGATGTCGCTGGATTGACACCCCAGCACATTTCACAGTGGCAGCTGAGTATCCTTAAGTCTTTCCACTAATCGAGTGCTTATCATCCAATTGCATAGCCATTACTTCTTATAAAAACAGAGGAGCAGCCCATTTCATTAGCGATGCTCTGTAACAAACCAGTTGCTTGAGAGAGTCTCCAAGTAATGTAACTGTTCCTTCTCTCTCCAGCAACTCCTCTCCTCAGGACTCTAGTGAGTTTAACTTCAGCATCAAAGCACCTCCTGTTCAAAGGCTGTTATTATGTGAGCCTTGCTAAATACAGAAGTTGTTTGTTCTGAATGACAGAAATAAGTATTGACCGGTTTCTCCCCACATGCTTCAGATTCTCTGTGGAGATCGTAATGTGTTCTTTGCACATTCCGCCGCTGGGCTTTCTCCCCCGACAAAGCGAGTATTATGCACACTTATAGGCGTGATACCATATACTTAGCTGTATGGAAATACAAATTTGGCTCCACGCTTTAGTTTTACCTTTCCTAGAACTATAAACAGTAACTTGTCGTGGCTATTGGTAAGCACACGAGTCAAAGCTGTCTGTCTTCTGCAGTTTTCCTCTGGGCTTAGAGTCATATTTTCCCTCTTGGCTATTTAAAACTGCATAGTTTACATTCTTCTTTCTGAGTTGCCCACCAAACCCTCAAAAATCTGACAGTCCGTAATACTTTTTGAGTTCTGGTCAGTTTCTCCAGTGAGTCAAAACCAAATGTAAAAGCCTCGCATTGTGGGATCCTTGGCATAGGAAGAAATTCTACACGGAGTTCTTTTCCTGTTCGGCCTTGCCCTTTCTTGTCCCATTCAGAGAGGTCATTTGTAGAGCTGAAATTTCTGCTTGACAGCATTAAATGCATGACATGGGTTTCCTGCTGTTGCATATACTGCTAGGGCTGGACCTGGTTTGTGGACTCCAGGGAGCCTGGGGCAGGCTGACAAAACCCTCATTGTTTTTTTCCATCCTCCTTAGAAACCTAAAGATGTTATATTCTCCGGGGTCATCAGCAGGAGAATTTATTTTGATTTGGGGCCATTCAGTTTGGCCTCCACTGTGGAGCCATGAAGTTGCTTCCAATAATGTTGAAGCAACATTGTGAATTTTTCACTCATCCAGCACTAACAGATCTTCTTTATCCTAAATACTTTGGATCTTAACTAACAACTTAGAATTCTTATCCTTTGCAAGTCAAATGGGCTCTTGTTTTCCAAAGTCTGCCACAAAGCACTTGATTTGGGTCTTGCTTGTTGCTTTCTGCTTCTGACCCTTCCTCTGCTGCCATTTTGTAAGGAAGCCCATCTGCTCCCTTAAGAATGTAGACCTAGTTCCCATGGGTAACAGTGAAGGAGAGTTCCCAACTGAAGAAATATGGCGGGGTGCACAGGCCCAGAAAATATGGAACAACACCATCCTATGGAACTTTCTGTGATGGTGTAAATGTTTTAGATTAGCATAATCTGGTAACTGGCCATAAATGGCTAGTGAACATTTGAAATGTGGTTAGGACAACTGAGGAGATGAATTTGAAATTTTACTTAAATAGCCACCTCCTTTAGCACAGATCTAGAACCAAAGGGTTTTCCTGTAGAAATGGACAGGTATAAACAAATAAATACAATTTCTTCCCCCATGTTCTTTTTGGAATAGGGCTGTGCCCAAATTCATGAAAAGGATCAAGGTTCCAGACTACAAGGACCGGAATGTGTTTGGAGTCCCTCTGACTGTCAATGTGCAGCGCACAGGTCAGCCCCTGCCCCAGAGCATTCAGCAGGCCATGCGCTACCTTCGCAACCATTGCTTGGATCAGGTGAGAATCTCTGCCTCGGCGTCCCACTGAGTCCTGGTAGCTCAGATGCATGCTTCTTTTTTAGAGTTTGGTAGTGAAAGTATTGCTTCCATTCGACCCTTGATTTTTTTTTTTTTCCCTAAAGGTTGGGCTCTTCCGAAAATCAGGTGTAAAATCCCGAATTCAGGCTCTGCGCCAAATGAATGAAAGCGCCATAGATTGTGTCAACTATGAGGGACAGTCTGCTTATGATGTGGCTGACATGTTGAAGCAGTATTTTCGAGATCTTCCTGAGCCACTAATGACAAACAAACTCTCAGAAACCTTCCTCCAGATCTACCAATGTAAGTATTCTTTGGTCTTAGAATTGTTGGCGGTGGGGGAAAGTGGGACCAGCTGAAATTGTAACCTCCTTAGATGTCATTCTTCTGGACCCACATAATGACCTCTTGAAAACAAATGTTATCAGTTTCTTTCTTACCTCCCTGTGTGTGGAACAGGTTTCTATATACTTCTTGAAAAATAAAAAATAATAATAATAATAATAATTCCTTTGTCACTGTTCTTTAATTACCAAAGCAGTTGTACATTTCTACATTCTGATCCAGGAGCTCATTCTGTAATTGTTTTCTAAAACAGTATTGCCCGGGCCTCCCCGGTGGCGCAGCGGTTGAGCGCTGGGTTGCGAAGCTGCCTGCAGCCTCTGCAGCCGGTTCGATCCCCTGCTGCTCCCCGGCCACCGGAGGAGGGTCCCACATGGTGCGCAGACCTCTCCTGCCGCCCGCTGCTCCCCTCGGCAGTGTCCTTCGGTCCTTCTGCCTGCTCTGCTCCCCGCTCTGGCTCTGGTGGGTTCTCTCACCCTCCCGCGCTTCTGACTGTACCCAGTGCATGTATAAACCAAACAAACAAACAAACAAATAATAAATAAATAAATAAGACATGCCTCTAGAAAATTTAAAAAAAAATTTTAAAAAATAAAAAAAATAAAACAGTATTGCCCACAATGCTCAAAAGAGCAGGTGCCAAGTCTCTCCCTCTGCCTTGTCTATGGGAATCTCAGTTGTTTCACATCTCTTCAGCAAGGACTGTTGTGTTTAAAATTTCACAGGTGTCTTGTGTGTTTTATCTTGATGTAAAAGGAATAAATAATCTTTTTCTGTTATTCATCTCAGCTTCTTCCAGAAATACTGGGGAAAACAATACTCATGCCCTTCTAACTTTTAAGTAAAACTTAAAGCAAACAGTTCTCTGCATTAATGATCAAGATCAGGATTATAGCTTTTACAGCATTGTGTTTTTCTTGGCTGAGTGTGGTATTACAGCAATGTAATTTAACAGCAGCTTGTCTTAGTGCTGAAATTGTCTTTAGAACTGGCGTGGTGGACTTTATTTTATGAGAAATGGAGCTGGTCTGGATTATTTCATTATTTGTTTCATCCTTTCATATTTTATGAAAACACAGGTCACATTTTCCCCACCGAGGTATTTGTTATGCGTTGTAACCATGGAGCTGTTTAATCAGTTTGTCCTATGGAGCTGCATTTGAGTGACTTGATTTTTCCACCACATGCCTTTAAAAGAAAGATTTGTCTAGTAAAGGAGAACTCAAGATTGAATCCAGGGTTTCCTACCTTATTTTATACATTTTTATAATAGCCTCTCAATATGGGTTCTACAACTTAAAGAAATTATTAGTTAAATATACCTGTTTGAATTCACTTACTATTTTAGTTTTCCTTTACAAACCATTTCAAGAATGAGCAGATCAGTTAAAAATCATGAAAGTCACCAGCAGTACCAAAGAGTTTGTAGTCAAGACTAAGAGATCTCAGTTCTTATTCTCTTGCTTGTATCTTACATAAGATTTTTTTCAGTGAAAATAAGCAAATGTAAATGTGTATAATGTTTTCAGTAATTGAGAACAGTAAACTCAATTTCTAAGACATACTTAGCAAAGAAAAAACTTCTGTAAAATGAAGGAGCAGGTATCATCTGGAGTTGAACTCTGAGGTGGATTTAGGCGTATATTGGCATTGTGGGTGTTTAAAATTTTTTAGCTCCTCCACAGGCAGGAAATACTTGAGAGTAGTCACGCTGGTGGCCATCCCTAATTTCTTCCATATTAACCTCAAGTACACTTTCTCCAAGTGCTTGTTCAGTATTGGGCTGAGGTCTTTGATGGTGATATTTGCTTTGGGACATTTCCTTGCAATTTACGTGGAAAATCACTGAGTTGATGGGGAAATGCTGGTATCGTGCAGATGTGCCCAAGGACCAACGCCTTCAGGCCATCAAGGCCGCCATTATGCTCCTGCCTGATGAAAATCGGGAGGTTCTGCAGACACTCCTTTATTTCCTGAGCGATGTCACAGCCGCAGTGAAAGAGAACCAGATGACTCCAACCAACCTGGCCGTGTGCTTAGCGCCTTCCCTCTTCCACCTCAACACTCTGAAGAGAGAGAATTCTTCTCCGAGGTATGGGTCAGATGAGGGGTGCATGTTCCCTTCCTTTCCTTCTACGGTTGGCTTTGTATTTTTGTTCGATTACCTGAATCAAAAAATAAAAGGATTTTGACAGCCCATGCACCCCCTTCTCCACACTGCACCCCACTTTCTTCTCAACCCCAAGTAAGTGACTTCCTGGATGGTCTAGGAACCAGGTATGGAGAGAGATTTGGATTCCTACCTTGCCATGGGAAGTGCTCCCCATTGCCCTCAGTGCACTGTCATCATACTGTGCCAGCAAGCAGCATGCTGTTTACTCACCTAAAAATTGAACGAGGGATACGAGCCCCATTGCATTGGCCTCTGCAGGGTCAGTGGGGCCTAGCTCTTGGCCTGTGCCAGAAATTGAAAGGAAGAAGCTGGGTCTAAAAGAACTAAGGATGGGGCCTCCCCGGTGGCGCAGCGGTTGAGGGCTGGGTTGCGAAGCTGTCCGCAGCCTCTGCAGCCCTGGTTCGATTCCCGGCTGCTACCCGGCCACTGGAGGAGGGTCCCACATGGCGCACAGACCTCTCCTGCCGCCGGCTGCTCTCCTCAACAGTGTACTTCGCTCCCACTGCCTGCTCTGCTCCCCGCTCTGGCTCTGGTGAATTCTCTCACCCTCCCGCGCTTCTGACTGTACCCAGTGCTTGTATAAATAAATAAATATTAAAATAAAATAAAATAAAAGTGTTGTTATTAAAAAAAAAAAAAGAACTAAGGATGATGTGGAACCTCAAAGTTAGGATCTGGCCTACACCAGTTGTTGGCTATGTTTCTCCTTAAATGTATACAAGGCAGGAGTGAGTGTGGTCAGTGAATGTAGAAACTTACAAAGGCTGATACTGGCTCAGCATTCACTCTGTCCCAGGCATAGCCCACCTACCTGTCATTCACTCTCCAGTTTAATCCTCACAACAATCATAAGAGGGGAAGATACTCTCAGTAGCCCTGTTTTACAAATGCGGAATGTGAGGCTGCAGAGAAGGTCATTTGAGTAACTAACTTGCCTGAGTCTGACAGGAAGAAAATGGCAGAGACAATTAGTGTCTCTTACTTACAGGAGTATTTATTTCATGAAAAGTCCTCCCAGTGAAGCTAGTGAGAAAGAAGCCACTGGCATTAACTGCCATTCTCCACTCTCTAATATGTCCAGACTCTTCCTTTTCCAAGTCTCTGTGGAACTTGACAAAAATTTCTTAGCTGGTGGGACTAGTTGTGCTAGTTGAAGTTAGCTTTGTCTCTGAAAGTCATGCAATGCTCAGATATCCTTTTATCTAATTCAAACCATTCACTGGAGTTTTCTAACCTTAATGGGATAGAGAGATCTGATAAGATTAAGATAAAACTTCTAAGAAACAATAGGCTTTTTTTTTTCCTTCCCCTCACCTTAGGAAGGGGATCCTGTTTATTTAAACTGGAAAGAATAGAATAGGGATACTGTTTACCACAACTGCCAGTGCCTCCTACTCAGGTACCCTCAAATCTGCCTTTTTTTCCTCCCCATCACACATATATAGACTTTACAGGCTGCCGTATTTAAATAGAAACCCATTAACTTAATGGCTTTAAATAACCTGAATTTCATTGAAAACAGTCTCTTTCATGTTTTGTTGTACCTTGTTGATAAAACTCTTGAGAAATTCTAGTGACCAAAGTAAAACTCTTTTGAGCCACCTAATGACAAATAGGGTCTAGTGAAATGTTTCTGTCCCTCCTTTGCATTTCCTCGAATAACACATTGATTAAATATATGTAAATATATGAATCTTTCCTCTCCCTTATTGCTTCTGCTTAGGGTAATGCAGAGAAAACAAAGCTTGGGCAAACCAGATCAGAAGGATTTGAATGAAAACCTCGCTGCCACTCAAGGGCTGGCCCACATGATTGCAGAATGCAAGAAGCTTTTCCAGGTAAGAAGTCGGGAAGTCTTGTTATTTGTTAAGGATCATGTGAATAGGGGCAAAAATCTTAAGTGCAATATTTGTTCTTGTCTTACGAAAGACTTTTCCGCAGCTAGAGATTACAGGCACATAGGACATGAGAATGGCTTTTTAATACATATATTATAATGTAAAATCCATTAGAATTAGTATGTTTGATGAAATTACCTACTTTTGTGCCCTTTTACTGAAAAGGCAAAAACAACAAATTATCAGAACTAAAGTCTGTATCTGAGAATCCTGCTTTCATTCATTGTAAGCCCTGTATTTAGTCACGTAGCCTCCTCTTGTAACCTTCAAAAGATTTTACACAAATAAGGTTTTTAGATAGCCTCATGAAGGTGATGTGTGTTTATCCTCATGATACCCTGTGAGGTAGGCAGGACCCCCACTCTGGAAACAGTGATTGGACTGCATGCATCACCTTGAGGATCCTGGGCCACAGGGCTGAGTATAGATAGACTAACCTTTTGTCGCTCACATCCCTCCCAGGTTCCCGAAGAAATGAGCCGATGTCGGAATTCCTATACTGAACAAGAACTGAAGCCCCTCACTCTGGAAGCCTTGGGTCGCCTACATAATGACGAATCAGCGGACTACCAACACTTCCTGCAGGACTGTGTGGACAGCCTGTTTAAAGAAGTCAAAGAGAAGTTTAAAGGCTGGGTCAGCTACTCAACTTCTGAGCAGGCCGAACTGTCCTATAAGAAGGTAACTCTTGGTCAGGCAAAACCAAACTAATGACAAACCCTGGAAATCTAACTGCAGAATTAAGGTTACGGATGGGAGGGAGGAATACAAACGCGAGGGGACACAATGGGCTGTGGTGGTGGGTGTGGTGTGGTGATCCTATACCTTTGAGTCATACACAGTAAATCTGTGTTACCTGACCTAAAAAAAAATAGGTAAGTCTTTTCCCTATTGTCAGCCAGTACTAGGGCTTAGGACTTGGGTTCTCTAGAGACAAACCCCTGTGCCAGCACAACTCTGTGGGGAATTGTCACATTCCTTGTGAACCTGGGCAGCCCCAGGAGTCAGATGCTCCAGGGGAAAGCGAGCAGAAACTGGCCCAGGAGAAATAATACTCATCTAACACTTTTCAAGAGCAATCAAATTATCAGTTGAAATTTTTGGGGTCCACAGAATCACACTAGCATTCCCTGGAATGTTTTAATAATGGTGTTGGGTTTTAGGGTATTTTATGAAATGCTTAAACTTTTCCATAAGTTGGTCAGAATCCCCTGGCACTCTTCTCTACTCACTAGCCCTTGAATGAATTGGGAATGCTTGAGGGAGAAATTAACTTGATAGGACAGAAAGCCCCTTGAGGGCAGAGGTGTCTTATGAGGCTCAGCAAGTTATACCCAGAAAAGGTATCTGCCACCTTGAAAAGAATAAACAAAGAATGGTCATTTAGGTTTTGGGGTGCGGATAAGTGTACTGACTTTATTACGTTGACCCTAGTATGAGTCCCAGGACAACAAATATAACAATTTTGACCCAAGGTGACACCAGCAGTTCTATTTACTTTCTGGCCTGCTGTTAAATATACTGGGATCAGCAGCCTGTTAAGACCATAGGTAATTAATAGCCTCTCAACATATGGCCATGTACCCAGCCCACAGTTTTCCTTCAAAAGCTAGGCGTGTGGGAATTGTGTGAGCACTGAAAAATACATGCTCTTTTCAGGTGAGTGAAGGACCCCCGCTAAGACTTTGGAGGGCTACCATCGAAGTCCCTGCTATGCCTGAGGAAATCTTAAAGCGCCTGTTGAAAGAGCAACACCTCTGGGATGTGGACCTACTGGATTCAAAAGTGATTGAAACCCTGGACAGCCAAACTGAAATTTACCAGTATGTGCTAAACAGCATGGCACCCCACCCTGCTCGGGACTACGTTGTTTTGAGGTGAGAACCCCCAAATTGATTATTGTGTAAGGACAAGTCTCTATGTCACTGAATCTTACAGGGTGGTACAATTATTTAAAGTTGAATATGTGCCTCCAGAGAAGCGTAGAACCCTTCCAAATATGGAAAATATATTGGCATTTATTGCAACAGTGTGTTCATCCCTAAAAGCAGTTTGAACTCTTCTAGAATTGAGCTCGGAGAAAGAAGCACATTCAATTGCATATGCTCATTGGTAGCAGATTTTTGCCTCTTTTAAGAATAGATTTTCTTGTAAGAAACAGCTAGTGAATGCATAAGCCAGGAAATAACATTTTGGTCCCAAGTGAGCTGTGGTTAAGGATGATTTATATGTAACTCATAAATTCTCTGGAGACATTACTGAACGAGGAATTCCCAAAATGTTTGAGGAAATATCACATCGTTAGTCCAAAACTTCTTCAACAGAACAACCCTCATTTGAATGCTTATGTTCTAATACATTTGTGAAATATAGAAATAATTTTCAGTTATACTTCAAATTGGTTTTCTTTCAAAGACTTGACTGTGTGTACCCACTGGAAAAGTGGCTCTGAACGGGGTTATTCATTCAGGAATCCTTGCGTGAGTTCAGAGGCTGCAGGACCACCCATCCTGCCCCTCAGCTGTCTCCCTTAAGAGTGAGGCTCTGTTTTAAATTGAGCTTCCAGGAAATTCCTCCTCCCCCTCTGGTTTTGTCTCTACAGAACATGGAGGACTAACTTACCCAAGGGGGCATGTGCCCTTTTACTCACCTCCGTGGACCACGACCGCGCACCGGTGGTGGGGGTGAGGGTCAACATGCTCCTATCCAGGTATCTGATCGAACCCTGCGGGACAGGGAAGTCCAAACTCACCTACATGTGCAGAGCTGACTTACGGTACGTTCTGATCCTGATTTTTTGATATGGTGAGGGTCGTGAAGCAGTATCTTGTTGCTCGAGCAGTGTGCATAGAATGGCTCTGCCATGGATTTAAAGCCTTAGGAAATAAGAGTTTGAAGTACAAGGGTGGTGGGAATTGTATGGGGACTATAACCAAGATGAAAATGCATACATTGTGCAAAAATGAAAAATGATGTAAAAAATACATAAAATTTAAAAATTTAAAAAAAAAGAGTTTGAAGTAACACGCAGATGTTTCTCATTTTCTATTCAAAAGTGTTAAACGGGACTTGCACTTTTAGTAATTAATTAGGCCTGTACTCTGTGCCATACATCAGTGTGTATTTGTTGTTTCTTTTAAAAGATTTATTTATTTATGTATACAAGAACTGGGGTATAGGCCAGAGATGGCGGGGGGTGAGAGGATTCACCAGAGACAGAGTAGGGAACAAAACAGGCAAACTGAGTGAAATACACTGCTAAGGGGAGCAGCAGGCTAGACAGGATATTTGTACCAGAACATCAGTGAAACACTGCAATACAAACACAAAATGAACGTCTGAAAATTCTTTCCAAAGTGGCTCTCGTGTTAAATCAACTCTCATTTGAAATCTTTACATCTCAGCACTTCTTTAAGTATCTCTGGGATCCCTTTTCATCACATTATGCCAAAGCTTTCCCTGAATAGCTTTATCTGCTCTGCAGCTGATATGTTTGTTGTTCCCAAGGGACTTTTGGTTCCAAGAATAGAGTGGATGTGCCAGGAGATTACCTTGCAATAAAAAGTGTCATCTTTACTTACACATTTTGCTCATAAAGAGATGGAAGTGTATTCAGAACTCCCTTTAGCTTATTTCCCTTTTCAATTTAAATAATTTGTCTGTTTTTCCTTTGTGTTATAGCGGCCACATGCCAGAGTGGTACACGAAATCTTTTGGACATTTGTGTGCAGCTGAGGTTGTCAAGATCCGAGACTCTTTCAGTACTCAGAACACTGAAACCAAAGACACCAAATCTAGGTGATTCCTGAAGCAACGCCACTCTTGCCACCTCAAGAGGATGGATTCTGCAGCAGCAAAACTACAAGGCGGAATCTAGGAATGAACTACAGAGATTTAATACATTTTTTTTAAAGCTGCTTCCTGTTTGTTTAAGGTTTATATTATAGACCTTGACTGGAATTATATAAGACTGTGCAAAAGAAAAATGTATTCTTATTCAAATTGCTTCTGAGAAGCAAAATTCTATAAATACATTACAGAAGATAAATGAAGAGACTCATTCTCTTGAGATATTGGTGTATGTGTACCTATGTCATTTTATTTGCAGTGTGCTGAGGGACTGGTGTATCCACTGGAATAGTTGGTACTCTGACAAGTTTTCTCACTGAGATGAGCAAAGAAAGGTTTGCACAGAGGAGTGTGTGTATGTGTGTTTGTTGCTGGTTGAGTGGCATAGATGGAGAAGTTGGAATGCAGTGGCTGGCACACTGAGACGCCTCCAAGAAGGGTATTGGTGCATCAGGTTCAGTCTAACCTGGAATATCTGACTACCCACAGATCCATCCAGAAAGAGATCCCAACACCATTGCCCATTTATTGTTTTTTCCCAAGTTATGAAGCATATTCCCTCACCACCAACCTCTTCTTTACCTTAAAAATCGTAAATAATACTGGGATGTCCCATTTCGATGCAGTTTGTTGATAGACCTGATTGCAAGTAGTAATGTAGTTTTAACCAGTATAGGTGAAGTCAAGTATGTAGAAAGCGAACACTAAAACATTTGCTCCTGAATCAAACATCAAAACTTTACTTCTCAGAATTCTTTGCATTTTCATGCCTATAACAGTAACTCAATAAGACACAGTATGGGAACATAGGCTACTATGTGTGTCCCAGGAAATCCTTGTAAATTTTAACCCCACCACCACAAAAGTTGTTTGTTGCCAGCATTGTTTCTGAAAGCTTCACGTTTTAATTGGATTTGTCCTTATCAGCAAATAGGTTTCTGGTTTTATGACTATATAAATGTTTTTTCTACATTTCTTTTTCTTTATAAGGATGTCCTTGGAATATATTTTAATGGCAATGAAAATAGTAATCACAATTATGAAGAAAGAAAGGAAGGGAAAACACTAGCACAATTTTTTGGAAGGGTGGTCTTTATACAGGTTTTACTGTAAATGGTAAAGATTGACTCAAGAGACAGTATTAGCGAATTTATTTTGTATGGATCAAAAGTGAGTAATGTATGAATGAGACTTGTAAGAAGGATTTTTATTTTGTTATAATTTAGTTACCATTGTCAGTGTTATTTCAAAGGTTCTTTGAAGAATGGGGGGGGACAGATCAGAGTTTTAAAATTTGAGTATTTTGGATATCAGTGTTCATGAAAATATACTTGTATATTCAATTTAAATGGCTTTCAGATTTGTAAAATTGTATGTTGTAGATACCATTCTATTAAGAAACATGTACACATGTCCACTGTGCTTTCAAACCTAGATAAAGCATGATAAAGATTATTATTTAAAATATACTTGTATTTATACCTCAGATATTCTTTTGGGTTTTGTACCTCAAGGCTTTTTTTTTTTCCTAATGTAAATACACTTTACGTGGATACAGTCTAAGTGAGAGAAAAAAATAAGAATAAAAGAAGAGGTTTATAACTTGCTCTTATATCTGTATAGAATATAATCAATAAGTGCACTACAAAATGGTTCAAGTAAGGGAAAAGCCTAACCTGTTTTAATTTGTATGGCATCTCACTCCATCCTTAACCCACAAATTGCAAAACATATCATTCTAGCATCAACTAAAATAGAAATTTGCTGAAGGAAGAATCAGACTGCCAGTCATTCCAAGGCCCAACTGCGACTGAGCCGTTCACTAACAAACAGGAAACCCTGGTGAAGGTTCAGGAAGCATGGAGAGTCTAAACAAAGGTCGTGAGGAAACAGTGCTGAGAAAATTACAAGAAAAAGCAGCAGCAGCAGAAAGATGCTCTTAAGCAAAGCTAAGTTCATTGATTAATTCCACAAAAGGTCTCCTTCCCACTGTTTAGCTTTCCTATTGAAAGGATTCCTTACATATTTGACAATAGGAGAATTCAAAGGATATGAACATTTTCAAGAACTCTGCTTAAGCTATCTAAAGTGATATTGCCACAACTTACTAAATTGTAACTAATTGCCTAGATTGTAAGCTCTTTGAGGGCAGGGTCTTCTACACATCTTTATAATCCCCCTACAGCAGCTTTCGGTGTTTTGTACTTGTAGGCACCTAATAAATTTATTATTTGTTAAATGGAACTGATTGAATTAATTCTGTTATTTCAGGGAATCTAGAATACCATCTGTCTTAAGCCTTCCTTTGACTCATCATGGCCCATTTGTGATTGCAGAAACTGGAGATTGTTAAATCTAATGGAATCTTGAAGTCTAAACTGGAAAAGATGACATAGACATTCTGAGTCGATGCTAATTGTAAAGTGAAGAGTTCCCTGTGATGGAATGTTAATCAGTCTCTTTTCACTCTGGCCATAGAAAAGGGCTAAACCCCAAACTCAAGATTTTTAAAAAGACACAGACCAAAAAAGCCTTTTGACTTACTTCTGCCTCCAGATCTAATCTGCTCAGAGGTATATAAAAGAAAGATCAAATTGTCTTTGGCCTGAAATACTTGATACTTTAGTTGTTTGAACCGTTCTGAAGTCGTGAGTTACTAGTAGGGCCCTCCGGATGGAGCAGACACAGAACCTTTGGTAGACTTAGATTGCTTTTGTCACAGGATCCATTTACTTATTCAACAAGTGTAATCAGGGCCTCCCCCGGTGGCGCAGCGGTTGAGCGCTGGGCTGCGAGGCTGCCCACAGCCTCTGCAGCGCCGGTTCGTTCCCCAGCTGCTGGCAAGGGTCCCACAGAAAAAACAAAAACAAAAACAAGTGTAATCCATTGTTAAGCACCTACTACATGCCTCTGACTGTCCAGTGCTAAAGACATAGCTGTGAGCAAGACTGATACTGTCCTGTCCTCACAGAATTATAATCTACTTTCCTTGAGGTTAAGTTAGAAATAATAGCATGTAGTGAACTTTAAGCAGGTTCCTATGAACTCTAGGGTTAACTAAGATCTTAACAAAACTCGAGATAATCATTAGACTTAAAGCCTCCTGCCTACCAATTTACAGGTTTTTTTTTTAATTTTATAATTTTTACATCGTTCATTTTTAAATAATATTTTCTTCCCCCCACCCCCTCAGGTATAGTCCCCATAGAGTTTCCTTCACCAATGCACCCGTGCACCTTCATCTCAGTCCCTTGTGCTCCTCCCTCCCTCCCTTTGATCCCTCTCCCTCCTCCTCCCCTGCAGGATGGCTCTGAGTTTTAATTGTCTGTTTTAGCTTTGTTGTGTTTTGTACTGTTACTATTTTTTTACACTGATGTCTTATTTGGTTTCCCTATATTCCTGCTATAAGTGAAACCATCCGACACTTTTCTTTTTCCTTCTGACTTATTTCACTGAGCATAATTCCTTCTAGCTCCATCCACACTGCTGTGAATGGCATGAGTTTATCTTTTTTGATTGTTGAATAATGTTCCATTGTGTGTATATACCACATCTTTTGATCCAGACATTTATTTTGGGGCATTTGGGTTGTTGCCATAGCTTATCTATTGTAAATAGTGCTGCAATAAACATAGGGGTACAGGTGTTCTTTTGAATCAATGTTTTTTTGTCCTTTGGGTAGATCCCTAGGAGTGGAATTGCTGGGTCATATGGTAGCTCCATTTTTAGTAGACTGAGGGATTTCTTGGAACATTAAGTGGTTCTTAAAGAGGTTTATTTTTCAAGGCTGTTGGAGACTAGCCCTGATTTTTGAAAAGTAAAATAATCTAATGAAAATATAAGATAGTCGATACTTTCCAGAATCACTTGTTAAGGGTATGTGTGTTTGTGGTTTTTTTTTTTTGTTTTTTTTTGTTTTTTTTTTTTTTGTGTGTGTGTGTGTGTACACGTCCATACAGGCACAGGGAGAGAGACAAAGACTATAGACTATAGAAGTATTTGGGATTTTATAGCTACATTCATCTTTATACCACTTTTGTCCATTTTCTATACACTTATTTAAGGCTCACACACACTCCATGAAGCATAGGTTTTGTCATTATTCTAAGGCAAGGATGTTGCCTGGAGAGTTAGATAGGAATCAAAGCACTAGGTACTAAGATTACAGCTCAGGTTCACTAGCCCCAGACTCCCTCACATCTGTCCACCTTTCCCTAATCAGGAAGACCGTCCGTCACAGTAAGAGCCTCAGCATCAGGATGGAAGTGCCCCTAGGAAAATGAAGGCCCATAGCAAAATAGCCACATTAGTCAATGTCTCAAAGGAAATTGGAATTTTCTCACCCCACTCTTGAGATACTTAAGGTGATATTACATAGGACAACATAAATAGGCAAAAGTTTTGTTTCAGGTTTGAAAGAATTTATAATGGAATAAATGTCCTGAAATATACAACGACTCCATTTTGGTCTCTCTGTGAAACAGAAGGATGTGATTCACCCCACTTGCCGGGACAGAATAATTTGACCTGGTCTGATTAAAACCTGCCCCACAGCCTGCTCTTGCATTGTTCTATAGGTAGAAGGGGACTGTCTACTTACAGGCTTCTTAACTTGCACCCAGGGCCAGAATCCTAGTTCTTTCTGCAATACTTCATGCCTTTCCCACCATCCAAGAATATCATAATATGCTACTGAGATATTTGTGAAGGTACTTTGAAAACAAGAGCTATTTAAATGTAAAGGAGCATTCGTGAAAGTGAAGTGGAATTCAGCCCAAATGCTTCACCTCACCTGCCTGTTGAAGCATACATTAATGATTATAAAGCAGAAATCCTAAACAATGAGATCATGGCATGCATGTCATCTTGGTGTTCCATCACGATGAAATTTGCCTAAGGAATTTAAATTCCATTTGCCCAAGGAATGCAAATTACAAAAGGCCTCAAAGAGCCCTGGCAAAGGAACTCAGGTAGGTCTGTGTAGTGGCGATGAATTTGGGTCCATTCTCCAGGGGATGATTAGTCTTTTGCAGGCAGAGAGTTTGCTAAATCATGTTGGCAGCTGCAGTCTAAAGTAATTACCCTTGCTGTGTATACACAGTTCCCGTTAGAGCAGCCGCTTGGCCTGTCTGGGCCCAAGGATGTTTTGACACTTTGAGTATAAATAGCTCTTTGCAGAGATTTTTCATCTCATTGGACTTTTTTTTAAAAATCAGTTCAGGGCTAGAAATGTAGCTCCTCATAGGAGTTTTTCTTTCTCTTTCCTTTTAAGATACAAAGTGCTATAGAAAGCAAAAACTACTCTGCTTACGACTCTGAAAATGGTTCTCATCAAAAATGATAAGCAACTTGTTCCCGTACAAGAAGTTTGATTCCAAGGAAGTTGTTTCAGAAAGCTTTGTAGGGTACATGTTCTTCTAAATACAAGTGTTTGGCTTGAGTCTGAATGGGCTTGTTGCTGCGCTACCATCTTATTCAGCATTGTAAAGTGCCCAGTACTGGGATATACTGGAATATATGCTTTATATGAATTAATATCTAATCTGAATTCCACAGGAGGATCTTTGAAGGAGATCTTATTAAAGAAAAAGTTTAAATGAAAGCTAGGGAGGCTTATAGAAGTAAAGCAACTAATATTTGTAAAGAGACTCAAGAAATTGTAGAGCAGTGCTGTGCAGCACAGCTTTCTGCCGTGATGGATATGTTCCACGTCTGTGCCGAGAGCATGCTGCCCGCACATGTGACTGCTGAGCATTTGGAATGTGGCTCATGTGACTGAAGAACTGAATGCTTCATTCTATTTCATTTAAATTTAACTAATTTATATGTAGCTAAATGGCTGCTGAATCCATGATACAAGTTTATTTAAAAGATATAAGAATATTTCCAAGCAATTCAATTCCTAGCTTTCTCTTTACAGCTTATAATAATCTTGGGGGAGGAGAGAAGAAAAAGAAAGGGGGATCCTCCCTGGTGGAGCAGGGGTTAAGGTATCAGTGCTATCAAGCTATCACCAGCCACTGTGGCATGAGTTTGAACTCTGGCCACAGAGCTAACCCACATGGCGCAGCAGACTTCTTCTGACTCGCCTGCTGCTCCCCTCAGCAGTGTATTTCAGTCAGTCTGCCTGTTCTGCTCCCAATTCTCTCTCTGGTGAATCCTCTCACCCCCCCACACCTCTGGCCTTTACCCCAGTTCTTGTATAAATAAATAAATAAATAAACAAACAAACAAACAAATAAATAAAACCTTAAAAAAAAAAAAGAAAAAGAAAGAAGAGAAGGGAGGGAAAGAGGAAGGCAGAAAGGAGGAAGGAAACAGGAAGAAAGGAGGGAGAGAAGGAAAAAGTATTTGCAAAAATCTTAACTGGCCACATTTTGGGTCCGATAACACCCACTCAACAGTCACAAGATTAAAATTGCATCCCCCCCCAACCTCTGGCAACTTCTGCATTCTCAAGCTTGAGTTGGGTGATCTTTTTTTCTTTGCTACTAGAGTATTTGTACATCTCTGAAGCTCAGATAAAGATGTAGCAGATGTGAAAAAAAAATTTAAAAAAAAACTTCATAATTCAGAATAGTCTCCTCTTTGCCAGAAGCAAAGGGGCCCTTATAGATGTTGTTTGGAACAACCTCAGTTGTCCCTCCATGGCCTATGTCTGTCCCTAGTTTTCTTTTTTTTTTTTTTTCCTTGTATTTATCATTTGTTTCAGTCTGTTTTTGACATAAGCTAGATAGACAACCGTTTTAAAAACACATTTAGCAAATCAGTTCCTTTGAAATATTTCAATGTTGCGTAACAATTGTAATTCTCTCTGAAGTAAGGACCCATGGATTTTTTGCAGGTATTAAGTGAGATAGTGGGTTAAATTCCCTTAAAGTACCTGGTTCCCTATATTCTACTGTTTTAAAGAAAGCAACGTTCATGCGCATCGCTCTCAACACTTCTACATTTCTCTTATTTTTTTTTTATTTTATATATATTTTACATCATTTTTGCACAATGTATGCATTTTCATCTTGGTTATATTCCCCATATAATTCCTACCCCCTTATTTTGATCCTAATCCCTTCTCCCCTTCCCCGCCCCCATAGAGTATCTCTGGTTTATAGTTGCTTGTTGATTTTGATTTTTACTTTATTATAATTAGTCTTTTTCCTGGTCCCTTATTTAGGTTTTTAAATTCCTGCTATGAGTGAGACCATCCGGTATTTTTCTTTTTCTTTCTGGCTTATTTCGCTGAGCATGATCCCTTCCAGTGCCATCCATATTGCTGCAAATTGCATGAGTTTATCTTTTTGATTGCTGAGTAGTATTCCATTGTGTATATGTACCACTGTCCCTAGTTTTCTGTCCTTGGTGGCCAGGCTTGCTTTCACATTGGTGAGACTGGCCACTCAGCATCAGCTGTCAGAGGCCAGGGGGTTCTCCAATGATAGGAATTCTTGATCCAGGTTTGATGAAAATAAGATGTCTGAACCCAAAAGTTACTGGTAACCTCTCAAAGTAAAGATATACCTTCCATGGCAGTTCCTAGCTTTTTGTCTCCAAAGG